TCTCTCGCCTACACATTATACATACGATTAGATGTTTTCCAGAGCTGCCATTAGTTTTCACACGTTTCAACATGTTCAAAAATATAATAATGGAACAATTAGCTTTGATTAAACATTACATTAATTATTTTAATTATGTAACATGTCATAAAATGGGTGATATTTCAAAAACAAATAATTGCATCAAATTTGAAAAATTTAATCATGATAAAAATATTCTTAAAAGTAAATACAATAGAGAATACAACATTCAACTCACCTAGACACACGTCAATCCGGTCAGTATATTTGTAAATGTACATTTATTTTTTAATACTTATACGCCAACATACGGTAGAGTATGCTATTTTGAAAATAGCATTATGATCATAATTAGCTAATTATTATTTATTTTACATAACAAGCAAATTAATCACCTAACTTAAGCAGTGTTTCACTTAATTCTAACTAGGTTATTATATAAACCTAATCTAGAAAAATAGTATAAATAATATTCTAGTCTTAAGAGTATTATCATTACCATGGTTAAATAGCTCCAACTCACAGCTTAAAATGAAAGTTAGCAACTATTATGTGGTATATCAGCATTAATAAATATTTTATCAATATGAAATTAAATACTGTATTGATTGAGGCCACAGTGATAGTTTCTACACAAATGCTAGGCCAATTTTATATATGCAATCGTTGAATAGTGTGTGCAAAACAAATAATTAATTTTTAAAAACACTTGTTAGAAGTGCCCAATATGTGGTTAGTATAAAACTAGAGGGTAAAACTAACCGAATTATTTGTTTATGATTGCCAAGTTTAGTTATACTAACTTTGAAATAATTAAAGTGTGCAAAATACACAAAATCAAACTGACTTATTGTAAGAATCAATAGAGTTTATTATATAAATATATTTAAAAAATAATAGAATACATAATAGAATAAATTAAGTTATCAATTATTAATTAAAGTAACTTCACTAAAGTAATTACTACAAATGTTACTTTGAAATGTAAATATACGCTATAGATTTATAAACTGGATTAAATTAATTAATAATATATAAATTACTAACATATACCAGTTAATTTTTGATTTAATAAATATGAGATCACATTTCACCTAGTTTTTTCGCCAAGTGTACTAGCATTAGGTACGTTTTACGTTGTGATGCCCTGCACAAGTAATCCAGATAATCCTGTCAACATTACCACCATTTATAATACAGCTAGCCAAAATGGAATTGCTAGTTGCAACGCCTTATTTGTGGCGCCTATCATAGTCAATTACGTGGCCGTTCAAGAGTGGCCCGTGCAGTTAGCGCTGCCCCTAAACTTAATTGCCAGCTCACACTATAACACATATGTTAACGGTATTTAATGCTAATGAAATTTAGTTTAATTATTATTAATTGTAATTTAATTATCTACCCAGGTGATCAAACCACTTTATATAGCGGAACCATTAGTGGTGGTCCTTGCAATGGCTCTGTGTTTAGCCAGCAAACAGCTTACAGGGGTTTCCCAAAGAATGGTTGCCTCAGCGCGAGCGGCAGTTTTGCTTTTATTTGCCTGTATAGTAGTGGTTGAAATTTCAGTGTCGGTATCGCGATACAATACTAGCGACACTGAGTATCGGTATCGGTGTCGCGACACCGATACCGATACCGACACTCGTTTTGAAATCCTACCGATACCACCGATACCAACGATACTACCGACACCACCAACACTACCGATACCAGCGATATTAATTATATTTTTTATTGTAATTATTATTTATATATCATCATTAAGCTCACTAATTGTAATAATTTTGTTAATGATTAGTTAACTAGCGTTAAATGTAACAGTAAAATTGAAAATCTCATTAGATTGCGCATGCTCACGACACTACCAATATTACCAATACTACCAATACTACCGATACTACCAATACTACCGATACTACCAATACTACCGATACTACCGACACCAACGACACTACCGATACCGACACCGATACTTAGTTTTAACATGTTTACTGATACCGATACGATACCAAACTAAAATTTTTAGAATTTTTCAATCTCTAGTGTATAGACTGTTTCGGATGTCGGGTATATGTAATACGGTATGTCAGGTATACGAGTTAGGTGGTTTGGGTGCCGTTTTGGAAACCTACAATCCTCCATTTAATAATAAAGGCTAATTATAAAGTTGAGAATTAAAAAATCAAATTAAATTATTTTATTTAATTGTTGTAAAATCAAAATAAATTAATAAATGCAGTTATCAATAAATTATTAACTAGTTTAATTTCAAAACAAACGAGAAGGTGAATTTAATTCATATGATTGCTACACTTGTCGGGTCCGAACATTAGTGAATACTGGCTCTTGTCGTTCAGGTTCTTGAGGTGACCGCTCGGAGCGGACAATAGCGGAGGTAAGCGCCGCCACATTCCTGGCTATTACGGTATTGTACCTAAAGTTTGTTAACCATTTATATTAGGTTTACTTTTAGTGCAGTCAATAGTGTTGCGCAGACCTCGTATTGAAGTATTGAAGAAACTAAAGTATTTTTTAATTATGTTTGATTTGACAAATAGATTTTAATTGTGTAATTTAATTGGCATATAAATGGACATGTTACAATATTTATGTATTTAAGTTCTTCTCGTGTAAACAATAAATTTAGAATATTCTCTCTCTCTCTCTCTCTCTCTCTCTCTCTCTACTTTTGACTCAACTTAATATATACGACAGAATACGTGACAATAATACTAATTGTGGTCCAAATGAATGCGAGTCTCACGCGAAACAGTGAACACGCGTTCAGTTCTGTGCGCGCGTGTCGTAAGTGTGACATAAATAACGTCAACAACGGTTGACAGTCGAGGGGTAGGCCATCGGTGTTGGCGTTAATCATAGCCATCATTGATTGGTAGGTTAGCCGCGACTCGTCGCTCATATTAGCGGCGCTTATGGTCACCAATAGGTACAGGAATGTGATTATCGACAGTCGGTGTATAGATATGAACAGATCGAACCAATCGCCTGCATATTAGGGTAAACATTTTATTATAAGTTTTTCATAAATAACAAAACAATCTAAATTTTTTATTGTCTTGTATAAAGTATTGTATATAAAGCAGTTTAATAGAGCACACATAATATTAATCAATCATTTAAATTTGTTAGTTGACAGCAATGATAATAGATATGAAAACTAACTCTTTTTTCTACATTGATTAAGGAATACTGTATTATTAAAGTACTGTATTTTACAATGAGTATATTCTCAAGAACAAACTAGTTAATTTATCAAAACAAGCTCATTACTAGCGAAAAATGTTAATTGAGTTAATTAAACTTAAACATAATCTTACCTGACTCATTTGGTGTACGAATATATTGAATAACGTGTATAGAGTATTTGCACGAATCGGCGACCAATATCATGTACACTATCAGTAGAGCTTTGGATACAATTGCCTGTAGTTGCGCCGCCTGTCTACTAATACCGTGATGAACCAACTGTATCCTACGAACATCCACAGCGTTCAACCACTGGCCATTGGCCTGTATCTGGACGTTCAGGTCGGCAAACATCTGGCCAATTATCTGCGAGTTTAGTGAGCAGTACACGATGGCCAGGTATATCGGCAAATGTGTGGCCAGATAGTAGGCCACGCCCTGGTATACTGTGCCCCACTTGTCATCGTTGGTCTTCTGGCCATTAAGCAAAAACATGGGATGAATACTGTGGAAACAAAACGCTTTAATCATGTCCAAGGTGATTTTCAACCCGATTGACATAGTGACAAATGCCAACATCACGTACGCACGCACCCGGTATTTACGGTACACCCGGCGGTCTACGGACCCAATTGTACTCGTAGTAAATATAGGGGTATCGCAGCGGAGGGTGTATACGATAAGCTGGGCGGTAAGTATTTTGAGCACGGTCATTGTACTCGATACAAGCCGATTGAATTGCAAGGCGTTGTAGTGTTTAATACGATAGAGTACAAATAAAGTGCATGTGAGAATAAAACACCGGGTAAGGTATAGTCCCAGGCGATGGCCAGCCGTTTTGCCAGTCATCTGCCTAAAGCCATATAATTTCATTGCGTTAATAAATGGCTGTAATAGTGTGTTTAGATAATGATACTCGTCCATGGTCAGTTTTGCGTTATGTAATGATGTACAATGAACATTGTTAATTGTATGCTTGATTTATTATATTTTCATATTTAGGTAAAATTGCCATGGGTGATTATAATTTACTCCATATGTCATAACAAATCACTGACCATTATTGTTCTGATTAAAATAGATTTATTAAACAATCAGTAATATGATTGATTACAAAAAAACACGCTGTGTAATAACCGTTCAATTTTGAGTAGTTTGTTTGTTATTTAAAAATTTGATGGATCATACATGTCGTGTTAATATTTATAAATAATATTTATTTCAATACAACAATTGTTCGCACCAAGTTCAATAAAATGATTGCCATCAGTATAAAACATAATAATTTATTTATCAAATTATTATTTATAATTTAATATTTTAACTTAATTATTTAATAATATAATTAATAATGATTAAAAACGGAAAATTCCACATTTAGACATTTAGTAATTATTAATTATTAATTAATACATTAAACTAGTAAATAATGATGATGTTCTTTGATAATTCAATAACCTGGTATAAATAACTAACTAAAATAAAGATACAAACTAAACATTATTAGAAATCCAAATTTTCAGTTCCCGGTGGTATAGATTTGTCTTAAAATGAAAATGGTTAATTATATTTAAGCACTAAGCTCAATGAAAACAACTGAATACGTAATAATAATGCTAATTGTTTTCCATACGAGTGATAAATTAATGTCAAACAATGAACAGGCGTTGAGTTGTGGGCAGTCGTGTCGGGTGTAAGCCATGAGTCGGTTGAGCGCCGGATAAGCGTCCGAACGGATAGCCGTCTCCTCTCGGCTCACGACTGCAGTCAATGCCCAATGACTTTGACGCCAATCGGCGCTCATTTTTGTTGCACTTATTGTCACCAATAGGTAGATAACGACCAGATTTATTAAGCGATGAGCTGTCAACAATATATCTAACCAATCATCTATATAAAACAAGATTAAAATTGTTTATATTATTAATTTTAACATATTAAATATTTAAATCTCTGTAAATATTTAAATAATATGCTTTAACTCACACGCAATTATCCCATGCTGCTTTACAAACCATATAACCAAAAATACATATTTACACATATCATGGATTAGGGAAATATAAATGATAAGCAACGGTACGGACACAACCCGTTTTAATCGGTCAATTTGAGCGCTAAGCATACTGTGCTTTGACTGTAGGCGCCGTATATCTTTTATACTAAACACTGGGTACTCGTTGGCTAGTATTTGCAGGTTAAGCGCCCGAAACATCTCGGCTATGGCCTGACAATGCAACGCGATGAATGTGCATGATAGGTACATGGGCAAATGAGTCGACAAGTAGTAGGTAAGGTCCTCAGCAATTTTAGTCAATCTGAATTGCACCAGGCGACCAGAGGTAAACAGTACGTCAATCTTGTTGTAAAGTAATACTCTAACTAAATCGTATCCAATAAAAGAGCTTATGGTAATAAATACAAATGCAATTAAAAATAGGGTACGGATGCGGAACCGTCTATAATTTGGACCCAGTGCTGGTCGAGGTATCATGTTAATAATGTTAGCATCGCATTTTAATATTGAAATAATTATTAATGAACTTAGCGTTTTAGCTGCTAAAGCTATGAAGGTAAAACTATTGAATTTAATTACCTCGCCCACCTGTCTGTACAGTACGTATGCGACAAATAGTATTAATGTTAATCGTATGGAATAATAATAATATTTACGGCCGCTTTGTATGGCAATAGTTTGCCGAAAGCCATACAATTTCATTATATTTATCAATAATTGTAAAGGATTTTTATTTAACATTTTGTCCGACATTTTTCTTCTAGATAAATATTCAACTAAATTATTGTAGATATTATTTTATTGTAATAAATTAATTAAAAAGTATTTACATAAAAATAGATAAATCGATTAAACACATAAAATATTCAATTAATATAAGTGTTGTGTTATATTTGCTCTCTCTCTCTCTCTCTCTCTCTCTCTCTTTTTCGGGTTTAAAATTATACAGGTAAAATTTATACAATATTTATGAATACATAATAATATAGTGTAAAGACATTAAATATGCGATTATTATAATAAAAACATCAATAATAAGACAATTATATAATCGTTTGGATTGTGTTTCCATTGAGAGAAAACGTGATTCAAATGAAATCAATGATTGAATTATTAAATCATATTTTTACCCATAAAAATGTTAGTGTTTAAAATGATATTAAAATAACGCATAAAAAATAATATTATATTTAGTGTGCGAGAGAGAGAGAGAGAGAGAGAGAGAGAGAGA